TCCCTCTCTATTCGCCCATCTTCTCCTTACACATCCTTTGCCCATCTGTCTGCCTGTACATCTTCTCTCATGTGGCCTGTCTGCATTCATCTATCAAATCCTGCCTTGTGACCCCTCCATTTCCCTCACTATTAGACATCATCTGTCCATTTCTGTCCCTTCCCCTGCCTGCTCCACATGTCAGTCTGGCCATCACCCCCACTCCTTTGCATGCCCTCACCCACTATCCCCTTCTTCATGCTTTCCTACCCTCCTTGCTTTTCTTGCTCACACTTTTTTTCCACAACATCCCCTTTCAAACTTCTTCATAACTGAGTTCCTCATCCCTGGAACTCTTTCCAATGTGTTCAAATGGTTCCTATAATGTGTCACCCAGAACTATAGTGAGATCTAACAAGCATCTTATACAGGTTCAACATCACCTCCTTGCACTTGTACTCTATACTTCTATAAATAAAGCCAAAGATACTGTATGCTTTACTTACTGCTCTCCAATGATCTGTGCATCCAGGTCCCTGTGTCCCTGCACCTTGTTTAGAATTGTGCCACTGTTTTATATTGTCTTTCAATGTCCTTTCTACCAAAATACATTACCTCACACTTCTCTTACATTGAAATTCATCTGGTAACTTGCTCACTCCACCAACGTGTCCAAGTACTTCTGGAGTTCTACACTACCCTCCTCACAATTTACAATTTGTCCAAGTTTAGTGTCATCTGCAAAGTTTGAAATTGGCCCACTAATATCTAGATAACTAAAATATATCAGGAAAAGCAAGGCTCCCGATACTGAGCCCGGGAACTCCACTACAAACCTCATTCCAGTCCGAAAAATATCAAATGAACATTACTCGACATTTCCTGTCACTCATCCAATTTCATTTTGCTCTCCTTGCTCCTCTCATCCTCCTCTTGCTCTCCTCGCCCTCAATCTCCTTCCCTTTCTCCCTCCATCTCCCACTTGCACTTTTTCCTTCTCCCAACTGCCATCGCTCCCCCCCTCACTCTCTCAGCTGCTCTTCCTCCTTCCCTCACTCTCTAATATTACTCCCTTCCTCAGTTTAAATGATTTTGCTTGCAAAATGTGGTGCACCTGGAATATAAATTCCGATGGCAGTGATTTCAAGTTGACAGTCATAATCCTATCACAATATCAGGAATTTGGAAGTTACTTCTGTTTAGCTCATGACTACCTCTTGCAAACAGCTTCTCAATGAAAATATTATCACTACCGTGGTCACAAGTGGAAAGCTGTTCAATAATAAAAGGATACTGCATTAGCAAATCAAAAATCACAGTTCAGTAACAAGTAACTTTGTTTGGGACTGTGAAGTTAACCTGCTGGATCAGCACAGATCAATTTGTTGACCCTCTTAAAGATGAATCATATGTAAGACACAAGAAGAAGGGCTAAATCAGACTTGCCACTCAGGTTCTCATTGTACTTGTCTTCAAATCCCGTTTCACACTTCTCTTTCTCTGTAACCTTCTCGAGCCCTATAGGGCTCCAAAGCATCTGTGCTCCTGTAATTCTAGCCTTTGGTATTCAGAACTTTAAATGGCTGTCTTCAAGTGCCAAGGCCCTAAGCTCTGGCACTCTCTTCATTTATATTCTTCTCTAAGGAAATCCTTTAAAACTATCCCTAAGATTCTGGTCATCTGCCCTAAAATCACCTTATGTGGCCTGATATCAAATGTAACTTTATTAAACTTCTGTGAAGTACTCTGGGATATTTTATGTTGAAGGCACACACACAAACTGTTGCATCCCATTGCAGCATGAGCCAACTAACGAGGACAATTGCTGGTGGGTCATTAGATAACAGACATGAACAGACTACTGTCGCTGCTACTTGACAACCAATCTAAAATATTCCTCCTCATATTACACAAATACAGCTCCTACCCTCACTGAACAATAGCTGGAAGTGCAGTATTTCAAAACAACTTTGCCATTTAATGATGATGACTGCATTCAAATATCACGGTCTTCAGGAAACTCCTTCCAACAGATGCTGTTCCAAGCTTTAAAGTTTCTTTACAATTATCCTATGGATATTTTCATTCAGAGTTAACCACTGCAGTTTAACATGCAATTGCTATCAGTTTGATGACCCAGTCCAATTGTTTATCTCAGGCTTGTCAGTCACCAACTAAGATAGAAACAAGACAAATCTACCCTCTCAGTGAAATAGGCTATGGCTATTTTCCTTGGAATACTGGAGGCTGAGGGTGACATTATAGGGATTTATAAAACCAGGACCTGAGGGGTAGCTTTTAAACACAGAGGGTGGTGTGTATATGGAGCGAGCTGCCAGAGGAAGTGGTGGAGGCAGGTACAATTACAACATTTAAAAGGCATCTGGATGGGTATATAAATAGCAAGGCTTTAGAAGGATATGGGCAAAATACTGACAAATGGAACTTGGTCAGATTGGGATTTCTGGTTGGTGTAGACGAGTTGGACCGAAGGGTCTGCTTCCGCGCTCTGTGACTATGACTCTGACTCTATGACTAGGAAGGAAGAGTGCTATCCAATTATTATTTTTCCCTAAGCCTAAAAACTCTGTTTAACCACAGTCATGGATTTCAAATAATTGGCAAGAGAGTTAGAATGAAAACGGAGATAAATCATTTCATTAAAAATTCTGGAATCTAAGAAGATAATGAAATGAGATTTCATAGGCAGCTTCAAAAGACAATTGGACAGAGGGCAGAATTTTTCTTTTTTGATTAATTCACAGGATGTGGGAATCATTAGATGGGTTAGCTTTTATTGCCCATCCTAATTGCCCTCAAGAAGGTATTGGTGAATTGCCATCTTGAACCATTGTAGTCCTTGTTCTGTGAGCAGACCCATAATATCATTAGGGAGGGAATTGTAGGATTCCAACCCAGCGACAGTGAAGGAATTGCAACATATTTCCAAGTCAGGATGGTGAATAGCTTGACGGGAATTTGCAGGTGATAGTGTCCCCATGTATATGCTATTACGTCTAAAACAGCAGGGATGTGGAACTAACCTGGACAGCTCATTCAAACATATATCAGACACAACAGGCTGAATGGTCTCCTTAGTGCTGTAAGATGTGTTTGTGCTGCTCTGGTTCAAATCAGCTAAATCAGTAAAGATTGAGAATAAAACTGGTCAGGAGCACAGAGAACTACATTTAGCATCATAATTATATGATAGCTTAGAACAACTGACACTAACTCTCGTTTAAGCCAAATGGCTGTGGCTTGGTGCCTCACTTCAATATTTTAAATAATTTACTTTGATAACCTAGTACAGTATAAGGAAGTGTTGCATTCTCAGGCAAATAAATACACTGTCTGTATATTCCAATGGTTTAGGTGGGCAATGTTCTGATGGCAATATTCAAAGGAGAAATTCCCTCAATACCATCACGAGCAGTCCTTCCTCAAAGAGAATATCCTGGAAAAGATTAGCTCATCATCATATTAATTTTTGATACTGTCTGCAAAACAGCTGTATGTTTGCTTACATAAATCCCTATTTAAAATAATTAATTATATGTGATACATTTAAACATTTGAGATTAAAGAACTGATACAAAAGCAAGTTGGTAGTTAACAACCATACCCTGTTCATATATCTTTACCTGTATAAGAAAATATTTTTGTTTAGGCCCTTTTACATAAATGAAGGCGGGAGCATGAAAAACATACAAATCAAAACCCCTTCTAAATGAAATGTACTACCAACTTCAAAAGTAAACTCAATGTCACAAAAATATATGTCAGCACGTATTTATTATCGTCACTAAACACCAAGCTTTTGCTGAAATTGAAAAGCACAGATTTGCTATTTGAGCTTTGTTGCATGATTTAACAACTGTTTACCCAGTTCTGCATCCTACTGGTAGAGATTTTGGCAGAAATAAACATTTCTTCAAACGTGAACAGTTGCTACACCTGTAATTTTCCTTCATTCTAAAATCAGATCCTCAACTGTTGGCACCCAGGAGAAGAGATATGAATCTCGCACAAAGCTAAATCGTACAGTACCTGATGGATCAACAGAAAATTCCAATGCCTCATGTAGTACTGGCTCAGATTCAACACTGATCTGCGTTGAAATCATGGGTATCAGCAACGATTCAACTGACCCTTCTCTTATACGACTGCTTCATGACAGTAACAAGAATAATGGAAAAGGTGGAATTTCTGAATGGACAATACAGTAGTGTCATAAGTATACTTTAGACTTAAGGAATGAGTCAGCAAACCAGTCAGAAAATCAGAATGAAGAAGAGGATGGGAGAAACTGTTAGGTGATAATTTTCCTATCCATGTAAATGCTATTCTTCATTTAGTACTCCTTGAAGAGAATCATTGGCTGGTTCTATAGCCAGAAAGTTTTGAAACTCCAATCAAAAATAAATAGGATATATTTTGTTTCAGATTTCCAATCTGCACAACCCTTTATTTTGTAAAAAGAAACTTAGAACTTTTAAAAGCATATTGAAGCTTTTTTTAAAGTCATGCTAAACATGAATGAAATGTGTTTAACACAGCAGCTTGAAAAGTGATATTACAGGTACAATTATAAAGAGAAATAACTATGACATAAATCTTTAAAAGGAAACCCGAAGGAAGCAGGTGGGGTTCTAGGATTTAAAAACTGAGTCAGGTTATGGGGGATTTCGAGCCCTAGGCGAGTTTAGGATTGAATTTTCATGAAGAGCTGGTTTTGGGAATGAAATTTGGGGATTAGAGCAAGATTGGTCCCAAAGTTTGGGAAGTAAGCCGGGTTTGGGATAAGGATTTGGGGCTCAGGCCGGGTCCGGATTTGGGGGTCAGACCCGGTCCGGGATCGGGATGTGGGGATCAGGCCGTGTCCGGGATCGATGTTTGCGGATCAGGCCGGGTCTGGGATCGGGGTTTGGGGATCAGCCTTGAATCAGAAATTCTCATCATCGAGCAGATTTTCTCTCCAACCAGTTGCCTCGCGGCTGGATCAGGCCTGGCCTGCTCACCTCGGATCCTCGAACTCAACGAAGGCGAAAGGCGGGGATCCGCGTTTATTCTTCAGATCGATATCTCGAATTTTCCCGTACTTGTAGAAGATATCCTCGATATCTCGGATCCGCACGTCCGTCGGCAGGTTCCCAACGTAGATACGGCTCTCGCCGCTACTGGGGCCTCCCCACCGGTAGTTGGCCGACATCGTCTCTTCAGGAAACCGTGCCTGCAAACAAGACAGCACAGATCAGGATCGCTGATCACCACAGCCCGGGGCCTAGTCACCGGGATTTCTCCTCACCAGGCCCGGAAACCACAGCTCACCGGCACGCCGGTTACCTCTATTCCCGGCCGGCCTACCAACCGTCGACACTCACTGGGATTTCGGAGAGCGTTTGTAGTGAAGCTTCAGTTCGGGGAGCGAGTCAGTCCGCCACCGCCGCCGAGAGCCGCTTCCCGCCGCCTGAGAACGGGGGTGGGGGGAGGGGGCGCCTGAGGAGGGAGCGAGAGCAAGCGCGGCCACTAGCGGCCGGACACCACAGTGCACTCACTGACACTCACTAATACACGCTCACTAATTAATAATACACACTCACTGACAC